GCCTGGTTGTGCGGACGCAAGGGCAGACGGGCCAGCCGCCCATCTGGAGCCGGCCTGCGCCACCGGAGATGCACGCATACGCTCACTCAAAACACTGCTTTCCAGGAAGCCGCGTCTCCCGCCCTCCTGCCTTGAACTATGTGCGCCGCCAGCGCGGGGTTTGGAAAGGAAATGCTTCTCGGACTCTGCAAGCAACCCTATGCTTGGCACACGTGGCCCGGGTCGCCACTTCGCGGCCTCAGGCTCCCCCCGTATAGTACTCTCTAGAGTGCTAGTTTTCTCGAGGTGCGCGTCGTGGCGTCAGTGGCGCCCGCCGGTGCTTTCGTTGGGGTATGGCGTGCGCGCGCCTTACGCGGCCCGGGCTTGTCGCGAGGATGTCTTTACGAGTCTGTTGCCCCCTTTGGCCTTCTAGTGGCGTAGCCGGAGCAACACGGGGAATGCCGCGGCGAGTGCCAAGAGGTTCATTCACTAAATAAAAGTTATCTGTTCCAAAAATCCCCTAAACCGGTTTAATTCCGATAAAAAGTTATTTAAAATCGAGGAAAAAACAAGTAAATCGGTTGTACGCTTTAATGTGAAGTTCCCCTGAGCGGCGGTGGCTGCCGCGCGCGGCCATACGCGCCAGCAGCAGGCCGCGCGCGCGCCGCGCTTATCGCTGCACTTTACATGTCGTCCAGGCTGAGTGAGTTCCGGGAACCCATTCTGGAAAAGGGGTTCGATAGGCGGGCGGCGGCGCGGCGGCTCCTTTTGAACCGGAGGCGAGGGCGGCGGTAGCCTGCTGTCGCTTGTCTCTCTGCGTCCTGCTCTGACCCCACAAACCCATCCACCCCCTCGCGAGGCCGTGCCCCCATCCCATATGACCGGGACACCCGCCGTGGAGCAGCAGGCTGCCGCTGAACCTCCCTAATGCCTCGCGCATGCCGCTGTAGGCCGCAGTCCGCTCTGTGGACCGAAATCCACGAACGGCTAAGCCGCCGCGCGGAATCACCCCCCCCCCCTCCTCTGTCGCGCGGTCGGTGCGGTGCCAGGTGGTCTGCCGCCGCTGTTCAAACTGATGGCGACGCACGCTGTTGCGGTGGGGAAGACCTCAGACATATCGAGATATCGGATTAGCTAACTCGAACATGAATGCCATGGACCGAGTCGGAGTCGGAGGTCGCTTGCCGTTCGAAAGAAGAAAGAGCTGGGTTTGCTGTTGCTCGAACTCGAATCTGTTGCCGTGTTGGCGAGTCTGAAGAGGGTGTCGGCGGTCGTTAGATTTCCCGCCCGTTTTAAATAATAAAATCATACTGAATTCTGGCTATAAACTCATTAAATCTAATTGGTTCTCGTATTTCAGCGAGATTTTTTTTCCACTCTAAAGAAATCCTGAACACCGTACGGCACGGCAGGCAACCGCTCGATTAATGCGAGTGCGATCTATATTTATCTGTGAGTCGTATACGGGCTGGCGCAGATCGCGAGCATATCCCAGTGTGCTGTGCGGTCTACAAAATAATGTAGTCCACTGCTGCAGCATGGAAAGAGGACTGAGCGTTAGTCTTATCTCCCACCTCTGATCGTTTGTTCGGCAAATCCAATCTGTTGAGTCCAAAATTTAGTTCAGACTGCGTCGTACTAAGAGGAGCTTGCTTTTTAAATAAGTCAAATGCTTCTCCTCCTGAAACCATGTGTGTAGCACAGCCCTAGGCTTTTTGTAACCCCCTTCCTGGCATTGTACTTCTGTCGCATTTATGTTAGGCATTCTTTTCCAGGAGCTATCTTCCGCAGAGTCAACAATGTACAGTAAAAAGATGTCATCCAAGAGCACAGCATGCAACAACAAAACAAAGTCAAGCGGAGTACTGAAAGTCCATCTCCGAACCCACACAGGAGCTAAACCTTTTGAGTGTTCAGTGTGCAACAAAAAAAACTTACGAAGTGATAATTTGCGAGTCCATCTCGAAACCCACACCGATGAGAAACCTTTTGAGTGCTCAGTGTGTAACAAGAAATTTTCACGAAGTGATCATTTGCGAGTCCATTTCCGAACCCACACAGGAGAGAAACCTTTTGAGTGTTCAGTGTGCAACAAAACATTTGCACAAGCTGGTCATCTGCAAGTCCATCTCCGAACCCACACAGGAGGGAAACCTTTTGAGTGCTCAGTGTGCAACAAAAAATTTGCACAAGCTAGTCATCTGCAAGTCCATCTCCGAACACACACCGATGAGAAACCTTTTGAGTGCCCAGTGTGTAAGAAGAAATTTGCACAATCTGGTCATCTGCAAGTCCATCTCCGAACCCACACCGATGAGAAACCTTT